CCTACTCCTGATACCTCATCTTAGTCCTCTTAAATTTGTGCTTCTACAATAACTCACGATCACTGATATAAATTTATCTCCGGCGGATTAGGTGGTTTAGTGTTTCATCAAAAGATCTTATGTGTTTTGAGTAATTTAATATGAAACAATATTGCTATATTAAAAAAAATAAAAGTTTGGATGAAATTATGACTCAATTAATATGTGGTGGTTAAATCTTTGAATTAAATGGTTTGAATCATCAAATAATTGATATCTACGGAATAAATATGATTCAACACACTTTTGACGTCTCATGGGGTGTTTGGTTGAAAAAGAACTCAAAATCAATTTGAAAATTGAATATTACTCTTTCTCGGATAATCACGTCGCGACCTCTAGGCCAGCAAGAGGCGAGCGACATCAGAGCATTCGTCAGTATTTTCATCATAACTGTATCTCCCGAGTTCGATTGAGATAATTCAAAATGCGTTGGAACTCTAACTCAAAGGACTACAATTCTTCTAGAAATAATTTTGTCCAAATTCCCATGTTTTCTATGTGAAAATGTGTTGTAAGTTATAACTGAAAATTTAGAAAATAACTTCTGCGGCTCTTTGAAGCTCTTTAAACTTTTAATTGCATTCCAATCAACAAGTGTGACCTTTTTGGACATCTTGGACTTCTTCAAAATCTATATTACCAATTTCAACTCTTTTGCTATATTTAGTACTCAAGACTTGCTGTTTTTGATTTTGATTACAATTTCGATAAACTCTTAATACAATTTAATTAGAACAAAATTTTGACTAAGATAATTATCAATTACAAAGTTAGAAATTGTCAATTATTATTTGGATTTAACAAAGGTCAAGCATATTGTTTTCATCCCAAAAGGAAGCCTAACTAGCAGTTATTTTCATAAATCTTCTCTTATCACATAAGTTTGTGTGGAGTTATTTAGGAATTGACAAGATTTTTTTTTTTTTTTTTGATAAGAAACTTTCATTAAAACAAACGGATTAACCGATTACAGATGAAACAAGCTAGAACAGCCTGAGACACAGTCTGGAATACAATCCCAAAAAACAACCATCCGAAAACACCAACTATACACCGAAAGACACACAACCTATACACAACCTGAAACAAACAAAGCCGAAGAAGTCTAGGGACAACCTATACACAAGATTGTTTCCTTAGTAAATACTAAATAGAGTTGACTGCCCCATCAATTGTCCAAACTTGTAACTCAGGAACCAAACACTCGACGGACCCATTGATGTTCACTATCTTCATTTGAACTTAATTGAGGTTTGCCAAAGGGCAAAGTTTAAACAAGGTGATTTTTATGTTACAGTCTTCCAGCTTCATCGTTATCAGTCGAAGCATGTGGAAAGCAATCTAGCATAGTAGCATATACTTTACAGGTTGACATTAGCCTATGCTGCCCCCGCTTCTTAGGTGGTACATTTAGATGCGGACGTAGACATTTTGAATTAGGAATCACAATCAAACTTGCAAAAGAGTTGAGGAATTTTACATTCGAAAATTTACATCAAAAATAAAATAAAATCATACCTTATGTAATTTTACATCCAAAAATCTACACGGAGTATGACTTCTTTGGATGTAAAGTTCTCAAATTTTTGATGTCATATCTCATGTAAAATTTCCTAATAAAATGATTTATATTATGGACCTGTCTGGCCTAGATTTTCCTTGCCAAAACATTGATTTTCTTCCCGTTGTAGCCCACAAATTTTGACCATTTCTCTCTTGAGTGGGACCCACATGTCTCCTCCAACGTTTTAAAAATTGATTATCCTACCCTATTTCAGCTCCCCCCAGACACCCCCTATATTAAGAAATGTATTTCGCAATAATAATAATAATAATAATAGGATTAAAAAAAAACGAGTTAGACGCTTCTTTTTAAGACGCACGTTTGACGCATTTGAACTATTTTCCATATTTGTTTGTGTCATTCGATATGACTATGATATAGTTCTCGAAACAAGTTTCGAGAACTACATACGCGATTTGTGAATTCGACTAGCATACGATCGTCGGAGAATTTTCAATATTACCGTGTTATCGAATTTAGTTTGAAACAACCTACTTTAACAAGCAATAACATTTGTTACGGTTGGTTGTGTTATTGACGACGTAGAAAACTAGGTTATGGTCACTTTAAAATGATATTAAAAATGTGATATTTCGATTTCGTTTGGCATCCCATAAAAAAAAAAAAAAAAGGGAAATTGGGGGGAACACGTGGCCCACACCACCACTTGTGTCCGCCCCTTCGTACATTTGTGCCCGGCACATATCATAATATTACAAGTATAACAATAATTTTTTACAAGATTTAATTATGTATAGCATGAGAATAGATTTTCTACTTTTAAAAAGCATAGTTTGCAATTTAGAGTGTGTATAAATTTAAATTTTTAAGTATTCCAACACACTCTTTATCTTTAACACTTAAATAAAGATTGAGAATATGTGTAACCATAATTTTTCATAAGATTAATTGAATTTCTCGTTAACTAATTTAATCATATTTAACTTAATAAGAGCAACTTAAAGGGTAGGATCGAGCACCTGTCTATAGTGGGCAGGTGATATCTTATCTGTCGTATTTTAGACCCCATCGATGAGGTGGCTAAATCACGTCTTGTCCTTCAAGAGACTCTATTTTTAAAAAAAAAAAAAATTGTAAATGTTCTGTAAATTGCAAAATTTGCTATTTTAAAATAGGAAGTCTCTTGAAAATGTTGTAAGCATTCAAAGAGAATGATGATGATTTTATATTGTTGCTGATGCAATACAATATTTCAATGTGCCGGACACCATATTTAGCACCATCAACGGTTCGCCTTCCTGCATTGCAAACATTTATTTTGATGGTGGGTACTGGGTACCACACTCCACCCTCTTTACGGCTTTTACACACACAACACGCACAGATCTGTCGTCCACGTGGTGACTTCTCATTGGCCCAACCAAAAGTTGATTTTCGGTGCATAAAATCTCCATGCCCCAAGGAGAGTAAAAGCAAGCGTCACGTGTAATCAAGAAAACCCAATATTTGCTTACGTGGAGTGGCAGTTTTTTTCCTATGATTCTGTAGTGTTTGGGGCCCGCCGTAAGTGTAGAGTGAAATTCGTTCCATGCGTCAGCAATAGCCCACTTGGAGGCCCATGACCCCATGTGTTCCATATCGAGGTCAATATGACGTCATGGATTACCATTTCATTGGGAGCATCACTACCAGTAGAGGTATGTTTGGTGGCTGCAATTAATGGGTATAAAGAATATCTACTCTAATTTAGCCTCGGCCATTATTTTCAAAAAATAATAATACAATGTGTGGTTTAAAAGTAAAAAAATACTTTAAATTTATATGCAAAATATTTTATTTTATGAATGTGTGGTTGAAAATGAATATAAAGAAAAAAATTCAAATATTGATAGTCAAATAAGAGGTTATATTCTTTTATTAAAAAAAATTGTACCCTAAATTCTATATTTGTTGATCGTTTGACGCACATTTTCTTAAAATACATTCTTTCAAAATTTATTTTCAACTGTATATTTTTTATCACATCAATAATTTTTTCTTACTTTTTAACTACATATTTCTTATCATATCACTATTTAAAATACATTATTTCATCAATAATATCTATCAAACACCCCCTCGGTAAATTTGCTGGACAAAAAATTACTAGGATCCATTGCCAGTGACGTACATGACATTATTCTTGTTTACCTTGTAAAAGGGAAAGACTGAATTGGAGTAACAACCATTTGTATTCGAACGATTAAGAGGAAAATGAAGAACTATATGTAGCTCTGTTTAGTTTGAATAAAAATCATATTTTTAATAGATTTTGATAAAAGTTGATGGAATATGAGGTTGTAAAGTAGTGGATCACATAAATGTATAAATAAACTATGCTCCTGTTTATCATTATTTCAAAACTTTTTTCAAACTTATTTTTAACCAAACATTCTATAAAAAATATTTTTTACCTAAANACTCATTTTCCTACTTTAATGATAGACAAACATGGGCTAAATATTAACTTTAACTTTAATTTTAATTCATTTTTCAATTGAATAAAATATGAGACTACATTAATTCAAAAATGCATTTTTTTTCAAAAATTCATTTCAATCACATATTTTTCAATAAAATAATATTACATGTAAATTCAAAGAAATTCTTTTAACCACACATTCTTCAAAAAATTACTAATCAAAAATACTTTTTTTTTTTTTTTCCAAAAACTTATTTTAATGGAGCTAAAATAGGAGGTCAAACCCCAATCACTCCTCCGGTTGCCACAACTGTTGTGGTTTTGGGGTTTCGGCGAGTGACGCTCGCTTACCGCATGGTGACAATGGTTTTGGAATTTGGGATAGTTTCTTTCTACTCCGATATGATCCAATCTGCTTAGGCAGTGATTTTTGTTGATAGATGTTGGTGGTGGGACGGTGGTGGTGGTGGTGGTTGTGAGGTGGCACAACATTCAATTGATGCCAATGGGTGGTGTGTGTGTGGGGTGAGTTTGTGATCAATAAAATCATTAATTTATGATCAATACATAATATGTGATCGATAAAATAGATTATTTTGTGATCAATAAATAATAAATGACATGAAAAATGTGTAATTGTGACTCACAATTTATGTCTTTGTGATTTTGATCATAATTGTGTGTTTATTGTGACCTTGACCCATTGTTTTGAAACTTTTTTACAAATTTCTTATTTTGGAAGTGGATTTTTAAACATTTCTAATTATGTATTCTTCCCGAATTCATTTACTTTACTTTCTTGCTCATGGTATTGAAAACAAATTTGTAATGTTGTATGTACATGTAACCCCACAAGCTACCCCACCCCTGGCCTATTGTAATTTATATATGAACCCCCATCATGCCCTCATTTCCAAGAAAATTTTAGACCCTGTCAAAATATATTAATAATTCTTTTTCCACCAGTGGTAAATGGCGCTGGCCATAGACATCGCCGAGTCACCAGAGATGCGCATCCAACGGCTGATATCCGAGAATCCTGTGATAATCTTCAGCCGCTCGTCTTGCTGCATGTGCCACGTCATGAAAAAGCTGCTCTTCTCCGTCGGCGTCCACCCCACTGTCATCGAACTGGACGAGGACGAGATCGCTGCCGTTGGAAGTGGCGGCGCAGCGCCTCCGGCCTTGTACATAGGCGGCACAAGCGTCGGTGGGCTGGAAAATCTTGTGGCACTTCACTTGAGTGGCCATCTTGAGCCTAAACTTAAAGAAGTTGGTGCTCTTACAAATATGGTAATTAAAATTATTAATGTTAATTAATTTATATTAATTTGGGGATTATCATCTTAATTTAGTTTTGAAAAAAGTAACATCCTTGTAAAATTAGTAAATTAGTAACTTGCTGGCTTGATTGTGTATTCTATGTGATTATCAAGAAATATTATATGTTTCTGCCACACATAATATTGTTTCTTTCTTTTTTGCTTTAATTTCAGTAAGCATAATATTTTATTTTTCTTCGGTAAGTTAGATTGAAGCGAACGATCATACGACTATATTTTTTAATTTATTTAAATCGAATTCAATCTAAATACTAAATATATTTTATCAGATTGTATTGAATATTAATAAGAAAGAAAAATAAGTTAAAAGTGTCGATCTACGCAGCAATAACCCTCGACTCGAAGGATTAAAGGGTTTTAATTTTTGTGAATTTTGAAACTTATTAAAAGTTTAATCCTGCCATTAATTTGTTGATTCATGAATATTCCAGCAAATTGAATCTTGAGCTTGTTTATAATTGCTTGAAATTAAAATTAATTAAGAAAAATTTAGGATCGAAATTCCTTTGCTGCCATTTTTTATGCTCCAGCACAAACTTTTGACTATAAAAGAAGAATATCAGAGGTAATGGTATGCATTGATGCCAAAACGAGGGGTCTCAAAAATGATACCCGCGGAATTAGGGTTTCGTATTCTACACATATGCTCGGGCAATATGATTGAACCACGTTAAAGAATAAATCATACATAGTCTTATATATGTATTGTGTCTTAAAGACATGTTTCATACGTGCAATTAGATCATAATGTGTGGATTTAGAATTTCCTTTATCTAAGGGGTGAACTTCAACGTGCCTATATGAAAGAAAAAGTAATTGAAAGAAAACCATCTTCAGCCTCTGCTTAAAACGAATCAATTTAGATAGTTGTAACTCCAGTGTCGATTAGATCAACGCGTTAATTCAGATTTTAATATAAGTCAAAATCAACAATTAATTTTAATCACACATTTTATGAGACTCGCAATTCTTTAATCATACATTTCATCAATTTTTATCAACATCTACTAAAAAGCTGATTTTATCCATACCAACATGGGCTTAAAGTGCTTATAGAATCACCCATTGTTTTTCATTTAACCTCGCTTCTTTTATATTTTGTAAAGTCCCTCCAAACGAAGTTAAGAGTTCTTGGCCTACTTACCGACTATACTTGTACATGACGGGGATGGCAAGTTAACATAGCCTAATAAATATGAATAACGCTTGTGTGTCGGAAAATGTATGACAAAGAGAAAGACAGAATATGCATTGGCATGACTAGGGATGTCAATTTGACCCGTCTGTTCAAGCGACCCGTAACTCTATTCGGGAAAAGCTCGAGTCTGGTTGGGCCGGCCCGTGTTACGAGCCGAGACAAGTTTTAGAAAAAAAAAAGGTTAAAAAAATAAGAATTAAGGTTAGGCCGAACCGTTTTTACTCGAGTCGAACCCTGAGCTTCGAGTTTTGGTTCGTGGCTCGGCTCGGCTCAGCTCATCTCGTTGACACCCCTAGGCATGACGTGGTTTGATGAAAAATTTGAATGTGTTTTAAACAATTCAATTATAGATGACATATGACATTATGTTAAAAATTATGTCAACTATTAAGTTTGCCTAGCATGATTGAATAAATATTAGTAACTAACATGAACTTTCTTAAACAATGTCAAGATTTGAGTGTGTGTGACACACTCCCTTCAAAATTAACAATGTTAAAAGATGGTAAATTTGAAGACAAAGGAAATACCAAGTTAGAAAAGGAAAATAGGAGGGCCATTTTTCAATTATTGGAACAAAAGATTCCATAAGCTTCTACTTTAATTATGAATGGAAAAAAAGCTATATTTGATGCGATTAAAATATCGATATATATATTGAATGACCAAACTGACATCCACCCTATTTTATGATTCCACGTGTCCATGACAAATCATGTATACAAACATCTTTGTTACTTTATTTGTTTTGATTTGATCGTGCAATATATTGTTTTTGTTGAACATGACAAAGATAATGTGCAAAAGATTAGTGATGAAAATATCGTAACCGCACATTTTTGTAATTCTTCGGCTTGTAGGATTATTTCTCCCTCTTGTTAAAAGGAACTAAGGATTCCAAAAAATAATGAGTTTGAGATGGTACGGACTTTATTTGCTTTATTAACAAATACGTTAATAGATGGTGATGGAAGAGAGAGAATTTAGAATAACGTTTAGAAAAAAAATAAAAATTTGAAAGTCGACTAGAGATTGGTCGCTAAAAATTCATTCTAGTCAGACCACTAGATGAACAAGTTGATTTTGTAAACATTTTAGAAGTAATTAATTTACTTCTTATTTGTAATAAAATCATTGACGTAATTATCTAAATATAGTTAAAAAGGAACAAACACATAGTAACAGTTTGTTTGGGAGAGATTTTTGGGGGAAGAATTGATTTTGAATAGTGATATGATGGAAAATGTGTGATTGAAAAAGAAGAAATAATTGTTGATGTGATGGAAAATATTATTTTATTGAAAAATGTGTGGTTGAAAATGAGAATTGAAAATCTAATTCCTCCCAAATAAGACCTAAGTCTTAAAAGCTAGAGAGCTGCAACACTTACACGAAAATTCTACGAGGATTTACACATGGGCAACGTTGTCAAATTTTGATTGGGAGTCAACAAAAAAATGCCAACGAGTTTCTACGATGTAGCAATTTTGGCAAAAAAAATCCCCCGTACAAGGAGAATTGCTTTAAAAGCTATTCAAGTTTGGGCTTGTGTGGGAGAGATTAAAATCAGATTAAAATTGAAAATATAGCCGTTATTGTTGACTTTTATTAGATGAGTGGGGCCCAATAACGGCCATATTTTCAATTTTAATTGGCTTTTAATCCCTCCCGAACGGGGCCTGAGTTTATCTTCCTTAATTTCGTTTGAAAATCGACGTTGTCATGGAACTAGGTCAAGCTTAAACCATTGAGGTCGTTGACAAAACTATTTAGCCACCACTTAGGTTTATTTCAAAATGAGTAATGTTATTCATAATCAACTATTGTAGTAGTCATCATATATGACAACTTGTTATTTGAGGTAATAGAATTACATCAAATTAATGTCTACAATAAGAAACTACTACATAGGATGACTACTGCAGTCACTAATTATGAATAACGTTACTCCTTTTAAAATATGATTTCCATAAGCAAGTACTAGATGAGAAAGTTAATATCATGAACCAATCATTGTCAAGGTAACTCACATTTACCATTGATTCATTTCAAAATACATAATTTTTAAAATTCTCATTCGATACTTAACCTCCGTTTGATTCCCATTGTTTGGGGATAAAATGCATTATGAAATAATGATTTTTTGGAAAACGTTTAGTTAAAAAATAAGGAAAATTTGTTGATATATATAATTATTTTATGAGAGAACGTATGGTTGAAAATGAATTTTGAAGAATATATTCTTAAAAAAAAGGGCTCAAACATGAGCTTAAATGGACACTTGAGTTCTTACATATATTTTTCAGTATTTAAGTTGCTAATAATTAATTTTTGTGGCACTCGATTCTTCAACTATAAGTTCTATGGAATTTTATAATTAACTAATTAAAAGTCTATGTTTGCCTTTATATTTTAAAGCTCATTTTCCTTTGAATTCATAACGAAACATATATTTTATGACCCACTATTTTTCAATTATATAACTTGTCATTAATTTTATCAAAATATACTAAAAATATGATTTTTAGCTTCTATTTGATTCAGATAAAAAATCAGATTTTTGGTAAATTTTGATAAAAAATGATTAAAATGTGTGGTTAAAAATTTGTGATTCCCATAAAATATGTGATTAAATTTTAATGTTAATCAATATTTTTAGTTGAACCAAACAAGGACTTATCGAAATCAAACATGGCATAAGTATCTTGTATATATGAAAAAAGTTTTCTTTGATTAAGAATGAAGAAATTGCCAAAAAAAAAAAAGTCCACTTTACTATAATATAGAACAAAATGCCCTCATTAATAATTTCAAATTCTACAATGTAGACAAAAATTATTTATATAATTAAAAATTGTATTGACCAATAAGAACTTTACACATAATTTATACTACTTATTTTAAAAAGAACAATGTCATTCATGCATTAAATACTCACTTCTCCCCATAAGCGAGTAAATAAAATATTTATGAAATGTCAAGAAGTACACTTAAATATCAAGAACATTATGAAATGTAGAGAACTCTCATATTCAGAACGAAATTTCGTTCTAAGCAAATGAAGTATCAAATGTCAAAATAAACATGACCCAAATGTCGATAACAGTTTTTGAAATGTCGAGAACGTCATGAAATATCAAGAATGACAACTATTAGACACAACTTATATATATAAAAAAAGATTTCAAATAAAAATTACCTTCTACCAAGAATTGTGAAAAACCTAATCAACTGCAAATTTGAATGAGATTAAATTTTTCAAGATGAAATTATATGATTTTCTTATGAATCGGAAACATATAATTATTTTTTAGTGTTAATGATTTTGCTACTTCACCTTCTTCATTTTTCCCAAAATTCTTGATTAATAACTAATAGATAATAAAAGTTAATGAATCAAGTAGATATTAGTTAGCATTAATGTAGTTTCTCGTGGAATACTTGTTCTTCTCGAAATTCATGAGAAATTGAAAAAAAATTGCTTCATTTTAATTGAGATTATAAGAGACAATTTGGTACGAAATTTAACCATTTTTGCAAGAGTTATCAAAATTAGACACTGTTCAATAGACAGATATGAATTGGCCATTTTTGTAAATTCCTCATGAAGAATCAAGTCACATCACATCAATGTGTCTTCTCCATTCCTTAGGGTTTTGGAGTGGACATGTTCTCATGAAAACATAAGCAAACCACACTGTTCACACCTAGAATCCAAAACTGTGACTGTGAGTTTAAATGGAAACACACAGGGCAACCATTTATAGGCAAGAATGCACTCAATTATTGGACCCCATATGGAATCTTTCACACCCACTCCAACCCACCATATAAGAGAATCTACAACTCAATCTTTCAAAAAGAACCCAAATAAGGTTTCATTCAACACATAAATCATTCAAAGTGAATACTTTTTTCACTAGTCTAGAGAATGAGAACCCCATAACTCATGTAGACATGTACCCCACCAAAAAGTTCATACTTTCAAGATATTTTGTCTTGTTCGGTTCAATACGTTGAGAAATATTAAAAAGATATAGATGAAATATTTATTTGTTATCTTGTCTACTTTAAGACGTTAAATATGTATGCAAAAATATTAAACAGAAACCTATGAGATACGTATTCGCTGTCTAGTCATGATTTAACATGTTAATCATGTATAAAAAATGTTAAATAAAATATGCACATTTGTTGTTCTTTAATTAATTTATTGTTCCAAATTATTCTAAAGTTTCAAAAGTCCTTTTAGATGCTTTACTTTTGTAGCCTTTCCTTTGTCACAAGTGAAGTCATGTTTACTTTGGCTTCTTTGTGTGGCTTCAACTTGTTAAAATGTTTTCTTTTCTAATCATTACCTAATTGATTTTGTGACGATGCCACCGAATATACTTTACATGATTAAAAATATTAAAAGTAGCATATGTAATAGTATCTCATTGACCCTCGTTTTTTAAAATTTATTTTCAATTACATAATTTTAAGATAATTAATTTTTATTCAATTTTATCAAAATTTACTAAAAAATTGATTTTTAATTAAATCAAACAGAGACATAATTTTATATGCGTTATCTTTAAGTTGTATATTTGTATAAATACTTAATCAAATTTTTGAAAGAATTTATTTGTTGAATCCAATTATATATTATAACAAAGACGATACACAGTAATCCAAAAATCAAAAGTTCATAAATAAAATCAACGGTTCAAATTAGGCTACAAAAAACAATTTAGAATAAGTCTAAAAGTGAAAAAACATGTAACATTCACCATTCAGCGTATGCATACGAGATTAGCTGAATTTTCAGCTTAAGTCCTTGAAATTTGGGATTTTACCATTTTGGTCTCTGAACTTTTAAATTTGTTGCTTTTAGGTCCTGAACTATATTTTCTCCAATTTCCTTTTTCCATCTTTTTCTCGGCCTCTCTCAACTCGCGTCATTACCCCCATTTTTATCCAAAAATATAATTAACCTAAAATAAATGCAACATCAATAAAATCACGATTCTAAACCTAATAATCGTGTAAATTCAAGGTTCAAAATTACTATAATATAAACATTTATCAGTCAGTAAATTAAGACATTTATTTATTTATAAGGGCCTGTTTGATAATGCACTTTTTCCATGAAAAATGGAAAATAATTTCCATTTCCAACAAAAAGCCTTGTTTGATAGGCACAAAATTCTTGGGAATTGATTTTCCACTCAAGGGCTTCACGGGCCCCATTTCCCACATTTTGAGGTTTTATTATTATTATTATTATTATTATTATTATTATTATTATTATTATTATTATTGCAATAGAAATAAATTTCATAACTTTTATTGATTCAAAATCAATTCTAGGTATTTGCTTGAACCAATTAGATTTTGATTTTAACTGGCTCTTAATTCTCGATTGATCAAAAAGTGTTAATTCTCGATTGTTCACATAATCAACGAGTTTGTTATCTTGTGTAGGTGTTTATCTTGCTTCTTGATGCATCAGTATTTAGAGTTGTCGAATAAATCATTTGATAAAAATTGATGAAATGTGCGTCTGAAAATTGAAATTTAATTAGTTAATAAATTGATAAAATTTTGACGAACTTTTACTAAACGCTAGCACTTAATTTACAAAGAAGAATTGCTCTTGCATTGCTTTTCACTTTTATTAAAATATATTTCTTATGTACATCTAAGAAAAGTTCTCCGACTTTTGACTGTAACGGTGTGTTTGATAGGAGATATTTTTCATGAAAAATGGAATTCAAATTCCATTTTCCATCTTTTGTCATCTTTGATGGTACAAATTTTCCCTAGAAAATTTTTTCCACAATTCTTTCACACATGTGCCAATTCCATGATTTGGTGGATTTTGTTTTCCCACTCTTTTGGTGGGAAAATGAATTCCATATTGTTGTTTTTTATTTTTTTATTTTTGTAACGCAAACAAATTTCATAATCAATTGTAAATTTTTTTTAATTTAATTGACAATTTCCATGTAAAACAAAGTCAAAGAATACTAAACTTTGATAAAAAAAAATTTCATTTTTTTTAAAAAACTTTTTGGCAATGAAAACAAATTTTATAACCAATTGTAGAAAAAATTATCACTTTCATGGACAATTTTCATGTAAAATAAAGTCAAACAAATACAAAATTTTAAAATTTTTCGGGTGAAAAATTATACAAATCAAATACATTTAATTAACAATTTCCTGTAAAATAATTTTTAGGCAATTACTTTCCCTGAAATTCATTTTCTTTCTATTCATTTTCCAACCTTGCAATCAAACGGACCCTAATATTAATGAAGGATAAATATTTTTTCCAACAATTTTAATTGCCAATAAAATTCTGACATTAACATTTAAAATTTATATTACTTTATTTATAGACATAAATTGAAATTGTACTTTTTATTATTGAACACAAAAAATTCATTCGCACTTTTAAATAAAATTTTCACTATTATTTTATTACTATCATAATGTTTTGAAGATAATATTTCTTTTGTATTATTATTTAAAGACGGAAGTTTTATCGATACATTAAATTTATTAAGATATTATTTTTTTAAAACTATCACCAACGAAAAACGCTTTTGCTAATCTTAAATTACTATTTTGTTACATAAAACTTTTCCGATAACATATTTTCTATTACTTTATTTTGCGATAGTTTTGTTAGGCAAATTAAAATTATGAAAATAAGTTTGTAATTATGATAGAAGGAAAGGCATGATTCTAGGATTTCGATCGTAAATTTATGCTGCATTTTTTGAAGAATTCTAATAGACCCCTTAGATAGGCCCAAAACGATCTAGAAAGCCCATTCCTAAATTTATGCTTCACTTTTTTTATGGGAAAAGTTTATACCTCAGGTATTTAGTTTGACATTTTAAAAAATCAGGTGTTAAACTTTAAAATTGTAAAAATCAGGTTTCTACTTTTTATTAATTAATTAAATATTTAATTGTGTAATTTGATAGCGTGTATCTTATTAATTAGTTAAAAATTAATTTCAGGTCACAGCTTATCAAATGAATTGGCCTCGGATTATTTTGAGGTCACAGATGAAAAAATTTCAGGTCATAGCTTATCAAATTAATTGGTCTCGAATTATTTCGAGGTCACAGATGAAAAAATCTATAGGTCACAGTTAACTTCGTTGATCACAAATCAAGAATTTTAAGAACAAGGGTAATTTTTTATAGGTCACAGACTAAAAAAATTCAAAACTTTTACAGGTCACAGCTCTATTTCAACGAGTCACAGTCCCAATTTTCAGGTCACGGACACCCACACAGGGAGCATCTAAAGTATAAACCAATGACATATCCGTGCTAATCACATCCGAAACAATTAGTTTCCCTGGGAAAATGTAAACCAAGAATGCTGATTGTATTTCATTTTCTAATATGAAATGCAAGCTTACATACCAATGAGAGCTCCCTTGTTTCCTGAGAGGGATCTATTGAATGAATATTCGTATCCATAGCTTGTTTCTTTCCTGGAGGGAGATTATCATTCGAAGAAACTGATAAGGGGACACAGTCAACAATCTTTGATGCAATTAGACAGTGTCCACTAGGATTNCGTCAGCGTCGCAGTCGCGACGCCGGCAATGGCGACGCTGTTGTGGATTAGAGGAAGGGGAGGAGAGGCGGGAGGGGGAGGAGAGGAAAGGGGAGGCGACGGGAATTGGGGTAGAAATTAGGTTAACAATTAGGTTTTAATATACTACCTGATTTTTACAAAAATAAACTTAAAAACTGACTTTTAAAAATGACAAATTAAACCACTGGTTTTATATAATTTTTCCTTTTTTTTATGTGAAAATAACACTGGGCCCTACTTTAAAACTACCCAATTCAAAATTAAAAATAAAAAAAAAATTTCCTACAAAAATCAGGTAATAATTCAATTTATAATATTAAATTAATCTACACACCCGCTCACACTTAATTTCACTCCAAACCCTAATGGCATGTTCTCTTTACCAATTACAAGCCGTTTTTCGTTTTCGATTTTCCAAAACAGCGAAAACGCGTTTTTGAAAACAAGTTAAAAATTTATAAAGAAAATCCAAAATGCGTTTTTTGGTGTTTTCAATTATAATCAAGCCAAAATTTTCAAAACGCGTTTTGGTTGTTTTCAAAACAATTTTTCAAAAAATAAAAAAGAACACATTTTCAACAATTTCAAAATGGACACTCAAAACACAAAATTGAAATACAAAGAGAACCGTTCCTAATTGATTTTCTTTCTTCCTTCTCTATTTATTCTTTCCATTATCTCGACTATATTCTCCAGAGATAGAGGATGTGGCGGTGGATTACGTTGCCAGTCTAGAGAGAATCTATCTTCAAACACAGTTTTATTTATCTTTTGTTAATTCACTTTTATAATCTTTATAGGTCTTCCATTGTTCCTAAAATTAATAGAGATTTACGGACCGCCACTCCCATTTCTCGAAATTGATGATTTATCTACCGCTATTGGATCAGTCCTATTCTCCGTCCTTCCCATTTCGGAGTAGTATTTGTCAAATTTGACCCGAATTCCTATATTCCTAATCAATTATGCTCAAAAGTTACGTTCGGATCCTCCACCACTATCTCGATCTCGAATGGCAACATGAAAGCATGAAGTTGCCATACGATATGGGGGAAGATTCTGAGGGAATATCTAGCTCCAATGGTCCGATTGTTCCGCCTCCCTCCGAATTACAACTTGAAGAAGGATTCGCTCTTTGTAAATGGACAAGGTCAGCGACAATCGCACAACTATAGCAGTGCTCAGAATTGACGCTACAGTTACGTCGCAACCACCTTGGTTTGTTATGGTTGGAGCTCAATTTCAACCAAAACCAACTAAACTTCAATCAAAATTAAAACACGATTGAATATAATCAGCTGGAAATCAATGACCCAAGTCGGAACTTCATTAATTGATTGGAATTACACAGAAACGACAAAATGTAAATTGCATTTCATTGATTGATACATTCTAATACAGTGCATGGGATTTCAAGTAATACGACAGATATAAAAGAGAAGTTATGGATCGGTAGAAGAGCAGGGGAGAAATAGAGAAATTGAGAGAAGGTTCAAGCAGGGAGAAGATGAGAGAAAAGGATAGACTGGCAGAGAAATGGAGAACATATTCAGAACAGAAAATCAGAGGAAGAGAATTCAGATTTAGAAAAATGAAGGAGGAGGAGGAGGAGGAGGAGGAGGAGAAGAAGAAGAAGAAGAAGAAGAACAGAGAAGAATGAGAAAGTTGGAGAAATCGGGAAGAAGACAAGAGAAGAAGGAAAAGACGGTGAAGAGGAAGAAGCCAGAGAGCAGGAGGAGAAGAGGAAGAAGATGGTAGACGACTAGAGAGGAAACCACAATTCAATTCATCGATTCACCCGTACTTCATCGTCCAACTTCAACCTGTATGGAACAAAATTGGGCTTTGGGCTAGCCCACCTAATACAAGCCCACTAGATAATCCAATGAAAGAAGTTAGCCATGACATCCATTCCCCTTAAATTAACCTTGTCCTCAAGGTTCAAAGTCAGAATGTCTTTTTTATATGCTGTTAGCAGTTGTCTCATTCTCTTCACCACCATTGGATTAAGCAAGTAGTACAAGGTGGCATATGCTTGGTTGACATTACCTGCACCACTCTTTTCATATTTAAGCCAAACTGTTTGGCTGGTTGGAATTGGGCTACCAAACTTTGCACCCGAAATATTGGTAACAAGAAAACCATCCTTTCCGTTAGACAATTTGTCATGCTGCAAGGGCCTCTCAACATGATAACTGTTATTTCCGGCGGGGAAGGTAATGCCTGAATTATAATATTGATCTATACTTGGACAAGAATTTTCCATTATAGCTCCAGAAGTAGTATTACATGCAGTGCTCTCTTTATGTAGATTTGACCAAAAACTTACTCCAGAGGATAGAGTTTGAGGGGTTAACCTTAGAACAACATATGTAAAAAGGTTCATAGTGTCATTGGGAGAAAGTGTTGTGGACACCAACATGTCCTGGAAAATTGTAAGCAAGTAGCATTTTATGTTCCCAGCACAATATTCTAATATTTAGACAAGTGACTGAACATCAATTGCAGCCTCTAGAGAGAATATTCTAGTGAAAGTGACGAATCCTTCGTTGAGGCCAATGACAAAAAGATGAGTGATTAATGGCAAATCAGTAAGATGGAAGAAGATAATCTTGTCCAACTCATGCCCTTCATTTTGACCCCTACTCAAATCAAACACACACGGTTTCACTTCTTCATTAGCATTGCTCCCAGATGACAATACCATCCATAATCCCACTTTTCGTACACCCGCACTGGTACAGGATCTGGCTACTCCAGAATTAGCTTCATTTATCATCCCAAACTCCATTTCAGCTTTGGAGGTTGAAATCTCCTCTATAGTTACTTTGTCGGCAATCTTAATTTCTGAATCATTTAATTCAACAGCAACCTTCTCCTTGAAGTCTATAGCATCGCTGTTGATACTTTTGTATTTATTTCCACCATTTGAAATTCTATTGGCTTAACCATCGCTATGTCCTCATTTTCAAACTTCTAAACACTTGCTTGTTCATACCATGATGAAATTAAAGAGATCCCAAATTGCATTTTCTCTTTGACGCTACTTAGAGCATCCTTATCTGTTTCATAATTGCCATTCCCAATGGTTCTGAAGCTATATTTTCCGTCAAATGTATATTCACCAACTGAGCTGGGTTCGATTTCTTCACCTTCATCCTCATCTCCATTAGTAATTAATATGCTCATTCCGAATCCTTTGATTTGATCAGACCATGTTTCTGTAGAAATCAGTGGAATGGGCACGCTTAGGGTTGGGCATGGGTTGGGTTGGTCGGGTTTTTACTCAACCCAAACCCAACCCAACCAAGTTCGGTTTGGTATAAAATTAACCCAACCCGACCCAATTACGTATTTAAACCCCACCCAACCCAACCCAACCCAATCAAGTTTGGTCGGGTTGGGTTGGGTTGGGTTGGGTTGGGTTGGGTTGGTCGGTTTATGGTTAACATTTTGTTTACCATCCAAAATGAAGACAACGGGTCAATAACAAGCTATTCAATGGGTAGGTCGGTTTATGGTTAACATTTTGTTTACCATCCAAAATGAAGACAACGGGTCGGTCAATAACAAAGTATTCAAGGTCCATCCACTTAACACTATATTGACCGCTTATTCCCTATCGTAACCTCAAAAACTACGTGAAGAAGAGCTGCTAAAACTGCTTTAAATAAGATTGTTCTATAACATAAAAAGAATTTGTTCAAAAACCAAAAGATTCTCATTCACATAAAGACAGTAGAACCATTAAACGAACTGATAGATAATGTAATACAAATACTTCCATACAAACAGATAACATTCCAATTTCCAAGTTCAGATTAAAGCAGCAAACTTTTATTTATCCAATTTATCAACAAAATAAAGTAAAGAATAACGGTAAAAATGAAATCATGGAACATAAAAAAACCTTGTAAAGTCAAGCACTCAGTAACTCACATAAAGTAGCTCAAACTCGGATAGGATAAGGCACCAAATACAGAATCAAATTGCATACAATATTCATCACCAAAATAAGGTAAAATGACAAAATTACAGAATCAAATTGCATACAATAGTCATCACCAAAATAAGGTAAAATGACAAAATTATAGTTGATACAGAGAGATACCTTGGAAGCAAGTGTGTCTGTTTCGCCATTTCTGTACTAGACAGATTAATGGGCTTTTGCTGCAATTTTTTTCCATAATATCTGCAAGAAAATAACTAATCAACCGCCAATCTAGCTCATATTAAGAAAAGAAAAAAGAATAAGAGGGGGAAGAAAGGAGTTGAGTTGAAGAGGGAGAGACAAGTAGTAACCCGTCGGTGATTATTGAAGGTGAAATATGATGGTTGCTGAAGAAAAGAAACAGCCATGTGCGAATCGACCGTGGACTATCAGTGAACGACGTCGGCAAGAGAAAATAGGAGGGGCGGCGAATGAGTGATGTACACTTTTGATGTGCAAATGACTTAAATCTAAAACTATTCTCCAATATTTTTATATTATCAAGAAGAAGTCATAATTATCCATTATATTCCCCATATAATAATTGTTAAAATTTTAATATACACTCATTTTAAAACATGGTAACATGTACTTGCAATGAAAAAATTACATGTCGTTTGACATGATTTTTGAGAAGTCACAATGAATTTTTTAAGATCTAAAAGTTGCTTTTAAATCATTTTAACTACTTTTATGAAAGTGCTTCTTCTACTTATAAGAGCTTTTAGAGGGGTCCAATGTGATTTCCCGTAAAAGTACTTTCGAAATAGAAATCTATTTTAGAAATTAATTTTTTAACAAAAATTAAAGTGACTTTCTCGTGAAAATTTTCTATAGGAATTAAAAATAAAATTTAAAGTTATCTTTGACGGATCGTACATCTACTACTTATTAGAGCATCTCCAAAAGACTCTCTTTTTAAAGAGCATATACTATAATTTAAAGAGTAATTTTTTAAGTACTTCAATATGCTCTTTATATTTAAGACTTTATATCATTATTACTCCCAAAAAATATTTACTGTTTTTTCATATATCTTATTTTCATCAGCTTCCTTCCAAATTCTTTTATTATTTTCTTTCATTGAAAACTGAAATACTTTGAATTCATTTATAATGTTAATTTAAAGAGTATCTTAAAACACAATTTTAAGGTTTGACATTTTAAAACATAGAGTGTCTTAAATTTAAAGATTCTCTTACAGTTGTTCTTAGCCACTTTTAGTTAAATTCATTTTGAACGTACTTGTCATGTAGAACAAGTGTGATCAGACCAGGCCCAACACGACGCATCTGGGATGGGTAGGGCAGCCCAAACATTTATTAAGAAATTTGTTTTTTTTTTTTTTTTTTAATTCATTGGTTAATTTTCTGAAAAAAATAATATAAAAAAGACCTATGATATAATGATGCCATCAGTCACTTCAATTTTAAAAATCTGTTTAATCACACACATTCATATTTAGGAAAATGATAAGTGTACATAATTTTTCTGCATAATGGTTGATATAATACTCACATGAGGTGGGACGCACTTTTGAAGTGGGTCCCACCTCATGTGAGTATTATGTCAACCCCTATGTTATCCTCTATATACCCCAAACAAAGCTCTCCTATTTAATAGCCTTCTTCGATGCCAAATTTTTTAAAATATATTTTTTCTTTTCATATTTTCAATTACACATTTTCAATAATATAATATTATAAGTAAATTCAAAATTTTTCCTTATTTTTTAATTACACATTATCTACCAAACTATTATTTCAAAATGTATTCTACACCAAAAAAGTGGTTCAAACATATGGCCTTATTTGTGCCACCTTTTTGTAGAATGATAATGAAAAATAAAACCGTTGTTGAGGTCCACACAATAGATAGAAAATTGAGGAAATTACACTAGATCAAGTGTTTAGTTTTAACTTTCTAAAAATCAGGTTTTGTCTTTTTTTAATAAAAAATCAAGTTTTATTATTTTTTATTAATAATAATGTTATAAAATAAAAATAATATATTATACCCACCCTACTACCTACCCCCACCAATAAAACCTGAACTCTATCCAAACCCTAACATAATCCATTTCATTTCATTTCATTTCTCTCAACTTTTCTCTCCACCGCAACCGCTCGCCGCTTCCCTTCGCATCCCCCTCCCTCCACACCTAATCCTTAAAACCCTGTGGATATAATCGAGATTCTACCGACAATGAAAATAAATTTGGAAACAACAATGGGTTTGCTGGTGGTTACAAGGTTTCACAAGATGGAGATGATGTAAATCCATCTGAAAGGCGACCATATAGTGGACCTTGTGGAGGTGGGGATTTTCGTGGTGGTCGTCGTGGCGGTTTCAGTAATGGGGAGACTCCTGATGGTGAATGTCCTCGAAGGGCATTTGATCGCCACAGTGGAACTGGGCGCGGAAACGAATTTAAACGTGAACGATCTGGTCGTGGAAATGGGGAGGGCACGTTCGGGGCAGCGTCACCGTCTCGCAGCAACGTCACAGCGACGCTGCTGCGATTTGCAGCAGCATTCCCTTCTCCTCCCTTGCCCCAACCCCTCCCCTCCCCCTCACAGCGACGCTGCTGCCGAACCTCCCCCTCGTTTCTCCCAACACAACCCTACCCCTCCCCCCCGCAGTGGTGGCATTGGTGTTTTTAGTTGGGTTTTTTTGGTTGTTGGAGTAGTGGTGATTATTTTTACGTTTTGGTGGTGTTGGAACTGTTGTGGCGATGGTTGTGTGTTGTTGTGACGGGTCGACGGCGGTAGTGGTGGCGGTCGCGAGTCTCTGTAACCTAGATAAGTGTCTGTGACCTAGGAATTGTGACTGTGACTCATTGAAATAGAGTTGCGACAAGTAAAAGTTTTGATTTTTTTTCAATCTGTGATCTAAGTGGGTGTCCGTGACCTAGAAATTTGGACTGTGACTCGCTAAAATAAAGTTGTGACCCCTAAAAGTTTTGAATTTTTTTAATCCGTGACCTATAAAAATTTACATGTGACCTTAAAATTCTTTATTTGTGACCTATGAAATTAACTATCCTATAATTTTTTTATCAGTTTTGATATGTGACCTCGAAATATTCCATGACCCACATCCATATATCTGTGACCTTAACAATTGTCGAAATCAGAGCAGTCGCCGAAATTAAGTGCGACTGGAGAACGGTCACCGGAGTAGTCGTCGTAATTCAGTGCGGTCAGAAAACAGTCGCCAGAGCAATATGGGTGGTGGAGATTGAGTTTGGTGGGGTGGGGTTAATTATATTATATTATAGTTAAATATTTAATTTAATATAATAATTGTGAAATATAATTAATTAATTCAAAAAAAAATCTGATTTTTGCAATTTTAAACATTGGGACCTGATTTTTTATTTCCTCAGAACATGTTTGGGAGCCATTTTTGTGAGATTTTAATCAAAATTATAGCTGTTATAGTCAACCTATGGGCCCCACCTGTGAGAGGGAAAGTAAAAAATAGTGGCTGATTTGATAGTTAACGGCTAGAATTTTGATTAAAATCGTGATTAAAATTTCTCCCAAACAGGGCCTAAAAGTAAATCCCTGAACCATGAATTTTTCCCTAGAAAATTTGAATTTAAATGTTGATGTGATGGATAACGGTCATATTTTTCATTTTAATGAGAAAATAAGGTGGCCCAAACGGGGGCTATGTTTGACCGCCATTTTTTTTTGGAAAGAATAAGTTTTTGAATAGTAAATATTTGAAGAATACGCGTTTAAAAAGTAGGAAAAAGTTTTAAATTTATGTAAAAAAATATTTTATTGTGAAAATATGGTTCAAAATAAGTATAAAAAATTATGAAAAAATTATTGCCAAACAGGGCTTATGAATAAAGTTATGATAGACGAAGTCACGTGAAAATGCACACACGTGATACCAGCATTAATATTCACTCGGCCACGTAAGGGGCAATTCAGTTCAAGATGCATGGACATTTTAAATCTGTAATAAGTGCAAAAACTATTGAATTAATCTTGATCCTATGTAGCATCATACGTGCCATGATTTTAACAATTTAAAAAAAAAAACAATCAAATGAATTTCCATATTAATAATGAAAAATCACGAGTAGGATACAACGTAGGACGACTACTGTAGTCACCGAATATGAATAACGTCATTCATATAATAAATATATAATCGAACTAAAATACAACCTCAAATTTCTAGTACATTTCAATTCTGGAGTCTTGAGGTCTCGAAAAACCTCAATAAATTTCTAGTACAGTTCAATTTCTAAAGAACAAGTAACGTGCCAATTGCCGATCTTCATAAATTTGAGCCCCTGTTTGATGACCATTATTTTGAGAAAATGGAGTTTTGAATAATAATTTTTTTGAGAATGCCTGGTTAAAAAGTAAGGAATAGTTTTGAATTTACGTACAAAATATTTTATTATATAAATATGTGGTTAAAAATGAGTACGTTCTTTAGAGAGTTTTAAAATAATGATTGTCAAATAAGGACTTAGTTGTAAATATAAAAATTTAAGTACAAGAATGTGATTTTTTAAAGTCACGTGAAGCAATTCGAGGGTCAATGCATGAAGAATAATATCAAATGCTTATTATAGATAATTAATTACATGAAATATGGATCAAAAGCTGCAAAAGTAAAATAAAATAATAAAATTGCATAGAAATGACAGCTAATTAAGACAGAATTTTTTTATCGTAACATAATATGCTTTCTTATTGAGAACATAAATAAACAGAAACATAGCGAGTCACATTCGCTCTTCGCTATTATCAATCACATTTTTTACTCATTTTCCGAGTAGTTTGTCTTTACTTTTAAAATAAGTAACTTCTATTTTACTATCTGTTGGCATCCAACTGAAAGCTAGACTATGGACCTGCCTCGAAAGTAATTAAAAACACGTAAAATGGGAGATCACCAAAATGCCTTGATATAAGATGGAGTTAATAATTATTTACGATGGTCATTGAGGTAATAATGGCTACTTGATATGTACTCCATATAGAGCACCACATCGTAGACCGTCTACCGTCATGAGGCCGTCGACTCCCATGAGACCTTTACGTTCACATAGGCCGTATACCACTATGAGGCCGCCGACTCCTATGAAACCCTCTACATTTACACAGGTCGCCTACCACCATGAGGTCAATGATATACTTAATTATACAAACGGCAATGAATTGGACGGAAACCACCTAACAGCGAATATGGACACAACCAACCACTTGACGAGTTATGCTGTCAGTTATCTTTATTGTCTAATTGTAAAAAAAGTACTACGCTTTGAATATTATCTTTCTTGTCTAATTTGAAATTATTATTTTTATGTAATTCTGTCCAGCCCTCCCGAACTATAATCCTGGGTCCGCCCCTGCTTGCGAGAAATATTTCTTGGTTCAACACTGATAACGTCAATACCTCCCCAACGACCACCCCAAAAAAGACAAGTGGCACCTCAGAGGTCATGAACATATCATCTACCAATTAGACGGAAGTAATGATTGCCTAATAGCGGGGCATCATTACCTAGATCACATTACATCCTAGGAGAAATAATTATCTAATTGGCCAATTAAAATTGGGCGGTAGCATACAAATCCAGATCGAACAATATAGCACGAGTTGACAAAGGGCGGCAAATTCCTGTTGTGAGGCCTATTTAAAGAGTGCAATGGTCCCCTACCAGGGCTGAACCAAGTCATTTTATGTAACACACAATAAAAAATACTTGGAATTTTTCTCTCTCTGGTTTTTTTTTTTCCAACAATTACCCTACTAAATTTCCCTTAAATTGAACTATAATTGCCACTTCAGTTTTAGCATCAACACTATCAAATAAGTAATTAAAGATTTGTTTATATACTTGTAAGTAATCTTTTAAGTCGGCCAGACATGAAAAAGATGATGTGTAAATAGTTAATTATACTTGTTAGCGATTTTTAAAATACATGTACACGGTCGTAAATACGAGTGTGATAATTAATTGTATGTTTACAATTCTTGCTGTATAAATACATACGTTACATAAAGCCATATTATGAGCGTAACCTAAGGTGGAAAAAAAAAAAAGAAGGTAAGACAAAATATGTGAAGAGTACTTCACATGGGCCTTACAGGCCCCTCACAAAGTGTTGGGCCCGCCAATGCCCTGTACCAAAGGGCATTACTCTGACCTTGTCACAATCTGCCATAGCCGACTATCTACGGTGATGCCATTGGAATTGACCACAATTGAATGTAGAAAACTAAAAATTTAACCTTAATTAAGACCGTCTTAAAAAAAGATTGAATTGAGATCAATCGAGTCAGGACAATTTTTTATTAGTTATTGTTGTGCAAAGACGAGACCAGCGATGAATTTAGGTTCCATTTGACATGAGTTTTGAAAAATCAAAAGAAGTTTTAGAGATTCAAAAGTTGTTTTTGAGTCCGTTTGATTAATTTTATGAAAGTACTTCCGGTATTAGAGTATTTTTTAGAGGAAACTGGTTTGTGGTTCTTCTAAACCACTTCTGAAATATGAAGTTTTTTTAAAAATTAGTTTTCAAACAAAAATTAAGATAACTTCATCCAAAAACTATTCTATAG